GATGCTGCCCCCATTCGTTTGGCCCATCTAATTAGCAATAAAGACCAACTTAAAAAAGGGGTAGTTAATGAGGTGAAGAAGACTGAGGCCTTTGCATCTGTCACTGTGGGTCCCTGTGTGTCTCTATTAATGCTTGACATGTTTGAAGATGGCTAGGTCTGGGAGGCTTAGGCTTAGGGTACCTGTGGGATTGGACTAAAATCCCTAGACATTGATGGGTGGCTATGTTCTAGGTTTGTTCAATTGGGCACATGGTTGCAGATGATAATCGCAAACTGAGCAGTAAGCACAAAGAGGAAGGAAGGCAGGCTGTAAGATCTGTTGGCTATGTTCCACACAGTCTCAAGTGTGTATCATTGTGAACTGAGAACTGGCAGAGACCTGGATAGACAAGGGCCTGTCCAAGGGCTACCTGGGAAAGGCATGGAGGTGAGCCATGAACAAGGGCACCTGTCTAAGGGGAAAGTCATGGTTGAAATCTAGCTGCTGCTGAGATATTAGACATTAGATGCCCACAGGCTGTGCACAGCTAGAGAGGGTATTCTTTTGTAATTTGCACAAAGATGGAAGTTATTGGGTATTAGTATTGAACAGCAGCTTGCTGGGCGTGAGAGAAGACCTAGTTGCAGAAAGAGTAGGACATCTGTCACTGAGGAAGCAGGGAGCACAGGGGCCTAACCACAGAGTGAATGGGGACATGGTTTAGGATTTTAGTGACTGAAAAATTGGAAGTTTGGCTTCGAGCTGATGGGGTGGCTAGGAGAGAGAAGAATGAAAACACTGGAAAACTATGCTATAATTTAAGGACCTAGCAGCAGGGACCCAGGTCCAGTGGATGAAATGTCCTAGGTCACCATGGGATGCATGGAACCTGACCAAATTGTTGAGCTGCCACTCAAGGGCTCCTGAGGCTCCTTTCCTCGGGCCAGGATCAGTCCCCGTGCTCAGGGTGGCTGAGTCTGCAGCCAGGTTGAGGCAAAATGGAGAACAGAGAAGCCAGGCATGTGGGGTCCATGTGTGCTCAGCATCTGGAAAAGAGAACACCATGGGTGTTTCTTCCGTGGTGTTGTACGATACTGATTGAGATGCCCATAGGGGTTTTTATACCTGGTGAGTAGAACAGTGTTTACACAATGATTGCTGATCATGCTTTTTTTTCTAGCTGGTTGGAAAAACAAGCTCCCTTTGGTTTGAAAAAGCATTAGGACAGTCTTAAAAAAAAACAAAACTTACCATTTTTCAACTGTCATTCCATAGGGTTTATTTTGTTTTACAAACGATACTGGCATGGCTGGGAAGAGCAGCATTGGGAAGAGGGCCTGTGCTCCTGTGTGAAGCTCACATTTGGGGGCAGGTAGTATAATGCGTGGGCTCTGCCCTGATAGATTTGGGTTTGAGTCCTGGTTCTGCTATTTGTCAGGTCAGGGAAGTTATTGCTTCTCTCAGAGTTTGTTTCCTCACCTGTAAAATGGAAATTGTAAGTTTACTGCATTGTTCACAAGGTGGCTGTCAGAATGATGTACACCAAAAGCATTTATCACCTGTGTTGGCACATGCTAAGCACTCATGCATCTTAATAATTCTAGTCAGCCATTATCCATTGGGCATTTGCCATGTGCTAGGCATTTAGGGTAAAAAAAAAAAAATAGTACAAAGCATCTAGTCATGGGATCTGTAACTATGTTTAACTATCAACTCAGCATCTCCTATGTGGCAGGTGTTGTTAGAAGTATGGAAATAAAATGATAGAGAAGACAGTACCTGTTTCTCATGGTACTTGCAGTCTCATTGGGATAATTATTATAACATTTGTTATGGTCTCTTTCAGCAAATCCATTAATTCTTTTTTTCTTCCATAGTTCTGTTGCATATCTTAGAGCAGTGATCCTCAAAATCTAGTGTGTGTAACAATCCAATTGGAGGATGCATGTTTAAATGCACATTCCTGAAATCCAGAGATTCAGGTCAAGTAGAGACTCCAGAATGTACATGTTAAGAAGCCCCCGGCTGGTGTTGAACCAGCCCTAGAGCCACCCCCTCCTTTCACCAATGTCTGAAGTTACCCTTCCAGAACTCAAGATGCCAAAGGACACTATAAGGAAGTTTTAGATTAGAATTTTCTCTTTTGAGTTCCCCTCATGCCACTTGTCTTGAGAGACAGGATGACACCACGAATAGAACTCCGAGAAGGAAATGGTCAGACCATGCATCTATTTCTGTTTCCCTTGAACTGCGTGACCCGAGACTACTCAACCTTAGAATCCTTCAGTTTCCTCATTCGTCAAGAGAAGAATACTTGTACACCCATTTAATGAGCTTATTTTGAGCCTTAAGTGGAATGATGGACATAAAACCTTTTTACAGCTCCACCCTGTTGGAGCTCCAACCTTTTGTAAATAAGTATACTTTTTATATTTATAAAAGTAAATAAAATATACTTTTATATTAAAGAGAAGGAAAAACTATTGACAAGATTGAGCATAATTCGACATGTGTAGATTATTTGTATATGGGGTTAGATATCTTAGTTTGAGAAGAAATGAACATTTGTTCTCTGCCATCAGTCCTCTTCCTCACTGCCCTTTACTCACTTTTGATCATTTTGGGACTTAAACTTTGTAACGGATATTTTACGGATTCTGGTTTTAGGAGCATCTGCGTCAGTCATGTTTAATGTCAAGATCTTGAAACCTGTTTGTGTTGGTAATTGAAGCTATATTGAAGGACCTTCTGTCTTTTTAAAAGCAGGTACCCTATATTTCATTCTAACTGGTTTTTCTTTGAATGATTTTGCTCAAAACAAAATGGTCCTTCCGTTTATAGAATTTCAATTAGGTAATTTGTTTATTTGCGGAAGCTTCTTCCTGTGCGCAAGAGGAACCATACTCGTTTATCACGAGGATATGCTGCTTGGCCCCAGTCTTCTTTGCAACTTGAATATTGGAGCTTTGTATTGCCAGTGAAATACAAGAGAATGGCTAAGCTTCTTAAATGTTTTTCAGGTGGTGTGTGCAATGGCTGTTCAAGAGAGGGTTTGGTTTACTTTTTGAAGGAAAACCACTTCTTTGTTTTCAGTTAAGCCACATTACTAATGCATGAAAAACAACAAAACAATAGGAAAAACCTTGCTAACCCATGCCTCCATCCTCTGTAAAATAATACATTGCCTAAAGAGTATGTTTTGGGGGATGGATGAGCAAATTGAATGGTACATACTGAGTTCTTTCTCTAGACTTTCATACACTGCTTTATCTTAGAAGTAAATGTATTTTTTAAAAATTTACTGATACTGATAAGTTGTATCCTTGTTGGATATTTGCATAAATGATGTATTCTTAGTGGAGCCTTAACTGTTTAATTTGAGCATTTAAGCAAAATATTTGGTAACTATTTTGGCCTATGGTAAACTGCCTTCCAGGACAGTTTAATAACCCAAAGAGGTAGATGGTGTGCTCTCACTTGTAGATATGTGAGGACACTTAGGTCAGAAGAGGCAAACTGATTTAGTTAAGTTGCCCCAAGTTTTATGTGGAGTTGGCCTGTGATTCAGGTCTTCTGATTTCCAACCAGTGTTGACTCTTCACAGGGATTGGAAGTATGTGGAAACAAAAGATTGCTAATTTACTTGTTTATTTGCTTTCTCCTGGCATAGCCTTCATTTCTAACTAATTTTTAATTGTGCATATGGGGGTGGTGGCTGTCTTAATAGCAGTGAGAAGCAACAGCTGACATCAATCTACAAACAATCTTAACCAGATAATCGCTGCAGTTTAGGACTGCTTAGCAAACAGCCCCCATGCTTCTTAGTTCCAAAGGGTCTCAACTCTAAGAAAGTCCAGCACAATTAGGATATTGGTGAATATGACCCCATGCTATCAAGAAAAGCTTAAATTATGTTTAGTATATTCTACTTATGAAGGCAAGGGAGTAGTTTAAGATTTCCATTTGTACTTATTTACCATTAAAAGGGAGGGAATGTTACATTATTTGGAAATGTATCCAACCAGACTAGCATGCCCTGATTGAGGTCAATAGATATGGACAAGAGTGAGAGGAGTGGTACATGCAGTTGTTGATAAGGGAGGCAGAGAAATAGTATACCTGTTTAAAGTCACATGCATTGAAATAGAAGATCTATTATGGAACCATATGTTAAATTTGTCTTTTGCATTTCATTACATATGAAAGTGGAAACTGCATATTTGTCTTTGAAGCAAAGAGAAAACTAAACAAACATGTTTTAAGACATTTTAAAAAATATATTCTACAAAGCTTTTTTTTTTTTTGCATTTACATTCTAGAAAGGATTATGTCCAGGGTTTTGTCTATCTGCAAATGTGCAACAAACAATACTGTCAGTCTAATACAAAAACAAGCAAGTAATTATCTGAATATACCTGTGCTATGATGTTGAAAAATCAAATAAGTGGATGTAAAAGTGTATAAAAATTGAGAATGTGGGAAATATTTTTCAGTACCTTTTTCCTCAGTTTTTCAAAATTAGAATAAGGATATATAAAAATTATAATCTATAACATTTAGAAGTCATTTCAAGCACTGAGAAATGAAATGCTTATTCACATCTTAAGGCATATGATTAAGGCATATAATTCTCCCTTTCTATTAAAAGGGAGAAAGATATTTTTTAATGTTTATGAGAAAAAGTTTTGGATATAGAATAGATGTATAAAATTTTGTTCTGAAGGGATTGTTTCCTCTTTCTTACATAATGTGAGAAAGTGGTAGGGAAGCCCCTAGCTTTGAAACCATTAAACTGTTTATTGGCCTAAATTGCATCACGTTGTGCTGATTGATAAGAGGAGAGACAGGAAAAGACCATTCTCTTTCTGCACAGTTAATGTTTTCAAAATTATAGGCTTATATCTTTTTTCTACTGTTCTTTATATGTTTATTCACTAATGCTTATATTAGAGTCATTGTGAAAATCCATCTATATAACAATTTTGCCTTTTCTTTGAACTTCACTCCTTCTGTCTCAGGTGGGCCAGCCATGAGAGGATACCTCCTGGTCATATTCCTGAGTGCTGTCTTCCTCTATTATGTGCTGCACTGTATATTGTGGGGAACAAATGTCTATGGGTAAGTTTCATTTTTGCTATTTAAAAATAACTCCCAAACTAGTCTTTCACACAAACCCACAAATTCTATTAGAGGGGACTATTTTAAAAAAAGAAAACTGTAACATTTTGAATATTTTCTAGCTTTCCATTATAAATTGGGTTTTTACCTTTCTAGTATCCTATAGATTGTATCTCTAACAATTTAAAAACTGATAAGCAACAACCTACTTTTATTGACTCTGCAGTGAAGCAGTGGTGTTGACCATCTTAGGGATATGACATTCTTTATTTATACAGTAGTTCATCTCCTTAAATTAATCGAGTAATTCTCAGACTCCATGGTGCTCGATTTTTAGAACTGAAAATGCTTGAATAAGACATTGTTGATAAAATATAGATGCTACACATGGTTTCCTTTGCTTAGAATATTTGGTGAATGATGACATATATATCTTTTGAAATAGCTTTGACTTAAAATGTCACATATAAAACTTTGGTGGGGCACAGATAGTTTTGCTGCAGATAAAGCCTCTGTAATAAGGTTTTTTGCCAATTCTCATTGCCAATCCTTTGGCTAGGAAAGAAAGTTTTGATGACCTTTACATCCTGAATAGGTGATAGCACATTATAAAATAGATCACATGATAACTAACTGTCTTAGAAAAAGAATCAGTAATTTTTGCCAGTGTTTCAGTAGTAGATCTTAGATCATGTTTCTAGCTTGTACTTACTAGGTTAAAAAAAATAGATACTTTTGCATTTAATCCATTACTGGTTGATTGAAAAATATTTGTAATGCTTTCCGTGGAAGGAAGTTAGGAACGGTCACTGGAAAAATACCCAGTGCCAGGTAGCTGGGTTTGGTCCTCAAGTTTTAGGCTTTGGACTTAAGTATTGGGCTAGAGAACTCTGAAGTCTAATTATAACACTAAATGAGGATCTGTCTCTCCATCTCTGCCACATTCTCTGTCCCACAGTAGTGGAAGACAAAAGCGGGAAAGAAAATAAAACACCAGATTGCTACTTTCCTACAAATCGTATTGTGGTCACAGGGAAAATGATAAAGCAGATCATGAAAAGGGTCTAAGTTCAGCACAGTGTTTCATCATCAGGATTTGAGGAGTGACCTAAGCTAACACATTACTCCAGTAACAGCAAGTGCCATGGGAAATGACCTCAGATGAGTGTTCATGCAATGAACTTCTTCCGTTAAAACTGAATGCTAATTGTCTTTTTTTAAAAAGCCAAAGTTTGTCTTCACAATATCCTAAATAGTTTGTTTTCTATATTTTAATGACATGAGACATCAAATATATTATACCTTATTTTGTTCTCCAGATATAATTTAGCTTTTATGGCCTGACATGCAAGTCTACATATTTGTGGATCTTCCTTACCTATAAGGCGAGGGGTGCTTGCCATTCAGGGTATTCACAAAATAGGTTTCCCTGCATAAGGACTTTACTAGCCTCATAGTTCAAAAACCTAGCAGTTCTAACTATGTGGATTTTGTACCCCAAAATTGAAAATTGTGTCCGTGAAGTGTCTAGGCTATTTCTTTCAGTTTGAATTCTGCTATTTATAGAAAAAAATTGATGAGTTTTCTTTGTATACCAGTTCTTTACAGAATTCATGATCATTATTAATAAGTTCTTTAGCATTAGCCTGTTCTCTTTTTTCCTGGCCAAGTCTGGATCCTGCCACCCTCCACCCCTTCTGTTTATTTTCCTTGTCGCGCTCTGTCATGTTTCACAATACCTTTTTAAATTGTGGAGACAAGCACTCCATTTAAGAAACACACAAGGGCCTAATCTGTGCCAGGAATAAAGTAGATTTGGATACGACTCTAAATAGTGTCTTTGCAGAGTCCCTGGGATCACAAGTAAAGAGTCTATGGAACCTTACCTTCATAAAAAAGTAGATAGTGAAAAAAAAAGAATATAAATTTAATTAATTTAAATATATAGAGAGAGCCTATGGAACCTGCTCCAGCCAGGTGTTTCTGTGGTGGATACTGCTGGTTTCTGTGGTAGGTGTTCCCAGGTGTGGCATGGAAGATATAGATGGCCGTGTGCACCTGCCATGAGTGTGGTTTCTGAGACTTCCATAAAGCAAGCCTGGTTGTGGCTTCTGCCATGTATTAATAGTAATCCTGGCCCTTCTCTGAAGGTCCTTTGAATCACTGCTCTTTAAATGACTTCTGGGTTAATAATCACCTCAGCCTTTTCCACTCTGCTTTGCCTTACGTCCACAAATCCTCAGGTGTGTGCAGGACTTGGAGAAGAACGTACTGTCAAACCTCAGGGGCTTTGGGGAGGATTTTTATTTGCTGCCTGAGAAGCCTCTCGGTGGCGGCCTTCGTGGGTTCCCAGGGCATTTGCTTCCCTTTGGGCAGGCTGCCCGGTTCTGGTTTCTGACTGACACTATTTTTGTCTCCTAGGGTACCACCTGTGGAAATGAAACGGAGAAATAAGATCCAGCCTTGTTTATCAAAGCCAGCTTTTGCCTCTTTGCTGAGGTAAAAATATATCCCCAAAAAGTAGCATACAAAATGTTTGCCATGTGTTTGTAATCATTTTCTGCACTTGTTTACGTTTTTCACACAAATCTTAGCAGTGTAAAGTGGACCCCCCTATATTTAAGGTAAAGCTTGAATATCCTGTCTCTTTTTGTGATTTTAGTCAGAGCTCTGCATATATTTTAAGAAAAGGCATTGAAGAACTCAGTGAAACCAGTATTCTTTTCACACAGGTGAGGCTAGAGAGGTCTATTTGTGTTTGATCATAAAAAAGTGAACTGTTCTTTAGGGCTTTATTTTTCCCACTTGTTGTTCCCAAGTTATTATTTGCCCTTATTATTTTGTGGTTTCTTCTCCCTTGCCTCTAGGTTAAACTTTATGATTGGAAATTTCCTTGACTTTTATTAACTTTTAATGAGCTACATAGAATACAAATAATGATTATTATACATAGAATATAAATAGTGATTGTTCATTGTGGTTGTCAGGACTTGTAGAGAATTTACTCTTCTCTCCACAAAAGTTCTTTTCTTCTGTCACTGCAACTTTGGACAGATTGCTGGTGAAAATGCTTTTAGATTACAAGAAATAAATGACTGTTCTAGGCATGTTTAATGGTATAAAATCGGCACAGCTGCTCAGTATTTTTTCTGCTAAACATTAAGAGTTCATATTTTCTTTTATTATATTACTACACCTTTCCATTACTGGGTCTTAAACTGATAGGGCTACACATCCCTTTAGAATCAGTCAACTCTCTGGAAAACTGCAAATACATAAAACATTTTTACATATGATTACGAGTGTGCCATGCTGCTTGGAGTCTGTCTGTGGGTGTGTGTCCAGTTAGGACCGCTGCAAAACTGGAAAAGCATTTTTAAACTTTTTTTGACCATGACTCATCTTAAGAAATACATTTAACTTTGGGGCCTATTATACACACACCTTTAAAATAAGAAAAAAAGGGAAGAATATTTACCCTCATTACTCCAAGTGTTCTGTTCTATTTACTTTTAAAAAATATTGATCATGACTCACAAGATTCCTTTTATGAGCCACATATGAGTTGCAGATTGCAGGTTAAAATGCTACTCTATAATCAAAGTATTCTAAACATAGTGAAAAAAAAAATCTTTTCATTTCTGAGAAAACTCAAAAGGGGTAAAATATTTGTACAAGATTGCTCAGCAGGTCCATAAGCCTACAGTTGAAGGGACAAGTAGATTGGTCACATGAACATTATTCTCTGAGGGCAGTTCTCTAAAGTGTGCTTGAGGATACTTTCTCAGAAATACAGAAAAGCCAGTGGCAATTTGGAGAAGCTCTGCTCTGAACCCTGGAGCTGTTACAAAGAGGACATCTTTTCCTTAGAATTGAAGTTGGGTGTGGATTTCAGCTTTTTCATTTATGGGTTAGTGACCCCAGACAACTTTTTCATCACAGCTGATACAACTTCATACCTGTGGTACTTTTAAATTTAGGCTTAGCATCAATACTTTTATTACTTTCTTTCTTTCTTCATATATATGAATATCATTTTATCACTTGGTGTTAGTTTGTTTTTAAATTTTGTTTTCATCCCCTGAGCTGTAACATAATTTTTGTTTCAGTACCTGGATATTGTTTTTGGTCTAGTTATGTAGTTCCATTGTATATCCCATTGTATGTAATATTCAAATGCTGCTTAAAACTACTTTTTAAAAAATGTAAAAATAATTATATATTTCCATGTAGTCAGTATGACTATATGAATTATGTACTGCAGGTATTTCCAATTGTGATTTTTAAAGTCTGTAACTATAATAAACATTTGGCAATATCATCCTTTATCCTTTCCTTCCAGGTCTGATCAGTTTCACCCTTTCCTGTGTGCAGCTGATTTTGAAAAGATTGCTTCCTTGTACGGTAGCGATAAGTTTGATTTGCCCTATGGGATAAAAAGATCCGGTCAGTAGTAGTATTTTTACCCTCCCCTGTTAAATTGAGTGGTGTTTGATGAAAACAGTCTGTTTATATAATTTTTAGGCCTTTTAATCTTTCTGCTTCCTAATGATTCCTAAGGGATATGGTTTTGGGATGTGATGAAAGGAATTACATTTTAAAACATAAATCTCCAGTCCTTTTGAGGCAGTGTAGAAGCAAAGAATTAAAAAAGGCACATTTGTTTCTGTTGTTGAGAAACTGCTTTGTATATTCATTCTGACACCGAGTGATGCGTGTGAGTTCTGATGCCTTACTTTATTCTGGTTTAGAATTAGCTCCAGGTAACCCTGAGGGTTAATAACTTCCTTCCTATCTCCCCATTTAACCTCTTTGCCTGTGAATTTTATTTAATTTCATCCGAAAGCTTTAGCTCCTTGATCAATCTTTTAACTTAATCAGTAGATATTTTATTTTTGTTAAATTTAGAGAGAATTATTCCATCTTCTAATGAGGAAACATTTTCCCTTCTGCTCATTAATAACTAATATAGCCTTATATAGCTTTAAGTTCTAGATTTTTGAGAGACCTTAAAAACCCAAGAGGTGACAGGCCTACAATTGGCTTAAACTTACTATTGATTTTTCTATTCTAATGTCAGTTTCAGAATCATCTGATATTGCTAATTTTTGGATTACTTTTTATTGACGGTTTTCAGATTAAGCATCTTATTTTTTCTGGGGTTTTTGGAAAGTGCCCTTAGAGTGTTTACCATGTTAAATGTGCTTACTGAGCAGTGCTGGCTGATTGCATGTGTATCATTAATTTTGCACAGAATAAATCAAATGTGGCCATGCCATGTGGAAGTGGGTTTGGCGGGAAGGGTGCAAGATGGCCTATTATGTACGTACATAGCCATGATTATCCTTTATTCATACTACTCCATTTGTTTTCTAGCGGAATATTTTCGACATGCTCTTTCAAAACTGCAGAATTGTGATCTCTTTGATGAGTTTGACAAGTGAGTTTATTTCCTTGCTTCCATCTGACTTTTAGCTTTAGCTAAGGTAGTTCAAAATATATATTCCAAGAGATGTAATATGTATTTATAGGAAACTTTCATAGCATTTTCATATAACTAAAACTTCTGGTAGTTATTTCTGTCATGCTTGAAATAAACTCCAAAATTAATTTAGAAGCTGCATAACAAAATTAATTTAGAAACTGCAAAATTAATTTAGAAGTTTACAGTCTTTTCTTTTCTTTTTTTTTTTTTTTTGAGACAGAGTCTTGCTCTGTTGCCTGGGCTAGAGTGCCATGGCGTCAGCCTAGCTCACAGTAACCTCAAACTCCTGGGGGACTCAAGCAACTCTTCTGCCTCAGCCTCCTGAGTAGCTGGGACTACAGGCATGTGCGACCATGCCTGGCTAATTTTTTCTATATATTTTTAGTTATCCAGCTAATTTCTATTTTTAGTAGAGACAGGGTCTCACTCTTGCTCAGACTGGTCTTGAACTCCTTACCTTGAGTGATCCTCCTGACTTAGCCTCCCAGAGTGCTAGGATTACACCCAGAGCTACCACGCCCATCCAAAAGTTTACAGTCTTGATGATGATCAGTGCTGGTCTCAAGGCTAGACATTTTTGACCCACATTCACCTGTTTTAAGTTGTTCCTACTTAAAAATTAATTCACACATCCTGTTACCAGCTCATAACCTCCCACTGTGGACTGTTTCCCATCCTTTCCCAGACATCCTCCCAACTACTCATGAAGCTTCCTTCTGTTTCACTTTTAAGGAGGTTGAATATTAGATTTTGGAAGCAGCTCTTTTCTTTTTTAAAATCAGAATTATATTTGAAGGAAGCAAACAATTTTCCAAGAAAGATATTTTCTGACTATAAAGGTGACTTCATTTTTAGAAAATTTTGCTGTCAAGTTAATCCCAGAGAAACTGAATTGCCAAAGATAGACTTCTTGGCAGGTAGGCTTATTTTATAGAGGTAGGCTTACTTCACAAAATTTTAAGCTACATTTTAGACTTTGGCCAGTGAGCCAGTGTGATAATATTGGTTGTCTACAGATGTCAGGCCTCCATTAAAAAAAGAAAATGGCAGAATTTCCTCTTGCTGTTGGAGGGGTGCAGAAGTTGGGGATACTGAATTGAGGTGTGAAAGTGGAAACAGAATTTACAGAATGGAGCTGTAGAAGCAGTGTTACATTTTGTCTGGGTTGATCTCATTTTTCTTTATTGGAGACCTAGATTATTGAAGTGTAGATTTGTGTAAGTGTAGATTTGTGTGTTGATTCATTATAGTTTTGTATGATTTAAGACTATGACATCAACCTAATCAATTTTAATTTTGATTGCATATCAACAGCAACTGTATTTTTTTCCAACCTAAAGTTTCATATGGCTCTCATTTGTACAATATTGTTTTGTACAGACTTCTCGCATATGTGCGAGCGTCGATGCTCTCTAATTTTGTAAATGGAGAGACTGAAGTTGGGGAAACATATAGTTTGTTACGGCTGGTAAATGCCAGAGCTAGAATGTGAACCTAGATAGTTCTAACTCTAATGCTTGGATGTCTGAGTAAAGAGTGATAATTGCTATTCCTTAAATATTTGCAGCAAGTGTCTGCAAATATTTACAAGAAGGTGAATTCAAGATTATTCTTTTTTAAGCACCGAAGGAGGCAAGAAAAGCTGTACCCCTTTTAATAAAAGGATTTGTTCTGTAAGATTTGGATTCAGTCCAAAGGCCGCACCTAAGGACGTAGAAGGAAACATGTGGCCTTAAGGCTGCAGGTTCCCACCCCATTTCTGTGCTTTATGTAGTCGCTTTCATAACCCCTTCTCCCACAGGGCCATTTTCCCTCTTCTTGCTACCTTAGTCTTGCTGTCCCCTGCCCTTTGCCCCTTTTGTCACCAAGCACACGTCTACTCTCCACCATCAGCTTACCTCCGTTTCTTAGCATTACCTGTATTGGGAGAGAGGTGAGGCGGGATTGAAAATCATGCTGACTACACAAGAGCTCATTAGTCTGAAGTTGCCAAGAATCGGAGTGTGGCGGAGAGGAAATGTATTGTCAGAAAGTCTGTAGATACAGACTGAATGGCAGGTATCCCTGTAGGAGCCCCACAGTGAGCACAGTGGTGCCTGTTTTGTAGCATCACAGACGTCCTGTCAACATTGCTAAATTGCTTATTTGACTTGTGTAAACATGTTCCCTGGAGACTTCAGAAGAGTATTTTGAAGATAGATAAGAATATTTTTATGATACTATTGTCTTCTGTTTGCATAGCATATAATTTTATGAAGTGGTTCACATGTATTATTAAATTTTACCTATGTTTCAAACAAATAATTCTATATTTGTTTGGTGCCTGTTATACAACACAAGGAAAAAAGCCCAAGGCCAGGCATGATGACTCACCTATAATCCCACCACTTTGGGAGTTCGAAGTGGGAGGATCGCTTGAGCCCAGGAGTTTGAGACTAGCCTGGGCAACATAACGAGACCTTGTCTCTACAAAAAGTAGGAAAATTAGCCAGGTGTGGTGGCATACATTTGTAGTCCCGGCTACTCCAGAGGCTGAGGCAGGAGGATCACTTGAGCCCAGGAGTTTGAGGTTGCTGTGAGCTATGATGACACCATTGCATTCCAACCTGGGTAACAGAGTGAGATCCTGTCAAGAAAGGAAGGAAGGAAAGAAGAAAGGAGGAAGGAGGAAAGAAGGAAATGAAAGGAGAAGAGAAGAAAAGAAAAAAGAAAGAAAGATAGATAGATGTCTGCCCTGGGTGGGAGAGTCCTCCCTGAGCCCCTGGCCTGCGGAGTTGGAGCTGGCTCCACATGCCCCAGGAGGGAGACCTGTTGGGAAGGCTGGCCATTGTCATGTGTCTGTTGGGCAGAAAGGAGGGGCTGAGGTGGAGAGGGGTGAGATCAGCCCCTTTCAAGTTCCTTTCCCCCTGTTTCTGTGTTCTTCACTGATATTTATGTATTAATAGTTGCTGGCCTTGCTCTTTGCTTATTCTTTTGGAAGATGCTTGGCATATTTTGGAGTGCAGCAGCTAAGCACAGATCTTTTTCTTACCTTTTATTTTCGGTCTATCCTCTTTGAACTTTCCAGAAGGGTTCAGACATTTTATTATTGTTGTTTCAAATCTGAATCCTTTAAGATTCTACCAGATATAAACCCTAGTTTTGTTCAGATATCTTGTACAGCATGCATGATGCCTTCAGTCAGGATAGATTACACTGTGAAGGGGAAAACTCAAAATATCTGATTAAAGACAGAAGTGTTCCTTTTCCTCACAGTTTGCACGTGCATGAAGCCTACAGGTAGACATTTAGTGCTTTCCTGGCAGTTTAGTGATCCTCAGGTGCCCAGGCTTCTTTTCTGTCTTGTCTCTGCCATTCCTCACAACATGACTCCCTCCTCATGGCCCAGTATGGTGGCTGGAGCCACCAATCACATCTACATTCCTGCCAGCAGTGAGGAGGAACGGGCAAAGGTTGGCACACCCCAACCCTTTAGGACATGCCCCCTCTTTTAAGGACATCTCCCAGAACTCACATAACACTTCATTACATCCAGTGATGTGCTGGAACTAGTTGGTACGAACTCATGAGAGCTGCATTTCTTCATATTCAGCTCCATATTCAGTGCCGTTAAGGTGGAAGCTGGAAATTAGCCGTGCAAAAGTATTTATACCACGGGAATTGACAGACATATAAAATCAGGGCTTCCCTCATTCACATGGTCCCTCTTCTCCCCTGGGGCTGGTTGTTAGACATTTACTAGCAGCCACTGAGTACACCCCATCGGACAGGACTCAGTCACAAGGCCACAGCTAGTGGAAGGTGGGGTGGAAAATGCAGCCTGTATTCCAGGGGACTGTGCGTGCAACTTTGAAACAATGAGTGCAATTTTAAGGGGCAAAGGAAATACCATTATTGAGGGACAACTAGCCGTTTTTATCAGTATTCTCCATCTCTTCCCTGGTCCCCATCTGTTTCTGTGTCTGGTCACTTTTAGGGTTCAAAAGTCAGTTATGTAACTCTGCTCTGTAACAGCCAAGCTCAGTGCAACTTTTCTATATGCGGTTGCTATAGACCCAGTTTCCTCTCTTTGTTCTCCAAAGCACAGCCAACACTGGGGGACCGTTTCTAACAAACTTCACTTCACTCAAGATTGAGGATATTTTAAGAGAATTACATCCTAGGAAAGGAACACTTAAAATGTGCCCATATTCCAAGGCCCTGATCCTTTCTGGCTGTCAACGTAGCTCCTCAGCATCAGCCTACCCTCTGGTCCTGAGGATCATGCTTTCTCCTCAATGGGAGTGTATTCTCCCACAGCCAGAAGCAGCAGAAACCCTAAATAACAAAACCTTAGCTTGCACTTTAAGCGTACAAATGAGTTCCCCATCCCCAACCCACCAACATTGCATTCTGAAAGCGCGCCAGGTGCTATGAAGAGTGCTTTAGTCCTGCATCATAGGTGGTTCTATAGTAACCACACATAAATAGAATATCTTAACTAACAAAGGCACCTGTGTCAAGTCAGTTGCTTGCTAAGTGGATGGGGATTTGTAAAAGCTACATGGTTGCTCTCTCAAGCAGAATCCATTATGTCAGCATCAGCAGAGTTGGGTTAGATTGGCTACCAGCCAGGGTGGGAGCATGTCCTTAGAAAACTTAAAAAAAAAAAAAAAAAGAGTGTCCTGACTCTATAAGGAATATCAACATTTGCATCTGTATTCTAGATAACTGACATCCTGCTGTTTTGCGTGGTTGCTTTACACTGCAGTTTGTTTGTTTGTTTGTTTTTTGAGGTAAGGTCTTCTCCTCTGTTGCCCAGGCTGGAGTGCAGTGGTGTGATCATGGTTCACTGCAGCCTTGAATTCCTGCACATGCCACCATGTCCGGCTAATTTAAAAAAAAAAATTTTAGTAGAGATGGGGTCTTACTCTGTTGCCCAGACTGGTCTCAAACTCCTGGCTTCAAGTGATCCT